TTTGCACAACAAACTAATTCAAAACAAATATTCAGTATATTACATGGACAAATCTTTATTTTAGTTTATTAAAAATACTTACACTAAAAACATTCATGATGTTAGAAAAACACAGGTTCAAGAAGTCTTGACAGAAATGAATAAAAACCCTATAATCCGAGTGCTTTTGAAAAGTTGGACCTTTCTTATTCAGGGGCAAACTGGGAATGGTGGTGTAATCGATTGAGTGATATATAAAGGGAGTTGAGTGACATCATGAAGGTCATTTGGTTTTCCAGGAAATGTTTAGTCCATTTCTCTATGTACTGTTGTAAACATCTCATTTCCGGTACAGTGTAGCCGATGGCGAGAGCGTATGTGAAAAGGTGTTAGGGATATTTTACTTTAGAAATGGCTAAATATATAAGTACATTTAAAATTATACTTAAGTGTTTAAGTTAAACATAGGTGACACCCGGAGACTGAGTGAAAAAGATATGTTATGCTATTCAATTTATTAAAACAGGTATGGAGAATTATCTTAAATAAGTAGTAAGTTTTGGGAAATTCAGTGTTCACATTACTTGAGAAAAAAAGCAAGGAATAAAAATTATTTTTCTGACAGAGATAAAACCAATGAACAGAGATCAATGGTTCCAGGATCTAGATTAGTTCCAAAAGGTTGAACAGTGTTTAGATTAGCAATCCAATAAGCTTCTTTTATTTCTCTATCTGCTTTAGTTCTGATTCCTGTTTCAATGCCAATGATAGTAACATTGTTAATGGAATGACTGGGCTGGTTAAAGTGTTGAGCAACAGGGAGATCTTTTTCGTTGTTAATGGAATATTTATGGTTGCTGAAATGTTCTCTAAGAGTTATTTGTGTATGTCCTACATATTGGTAATTGCATTTTTTACACTGTATAAGGTAAATGGTGTTTTTTGTTTCACAAGTGACTTCTTTGGATATTTTAAAGTTTCTTTGATTGTGTCAGAAAATGAGTCAGTGGTTTTATGAAGTTGCAGGTTTGACAATGGGCTTTATTACATGGACGACAACCATTTTGGGGTGGGATGTAATCTTTTAGAGTTCTGCATTTTTGGAAGGAGACAGCAAGAACTTCAGCAAATATCTGTTTAAGGTGATGAAAATGTTTCTTCAGAATTTGTGAAACGTTTCTGAGTTTAAACTGATAGGTAATAATAAGAGGAATTCTATTTGAAAGTTTAGTATTGTTCTGTTTTAGGATGTTTTTCCGCTGAGTGTTGTTAACCTTTTCAATTTTTTTGTCGATTTGGTATCTTTATATCCTCTTTGTAACATAATTTGTTTTAGATCCTTGGTGTGTTTTCTGTAGCCTGTTTTATCTGAGCATATTTTCTTTATTCTAAGAGTTTGACTGTAGGTAATGTTTCATTTAGTGTGAGATGAGTGACAACTTTTATAGTGAAGGTATTGTGGTCTGTCTGTGGTTTTTTTGTAAAAGTCAGTGTGTAAAATTCTGTCTTTTAGAAAAACAGTGACGTCAAGAAAGTTAATCTGAGTAGGCGAGTAATCACAGGTAAACTTGATTGTTTTGTGAAAGGAGTTTGAAAGTGAGATAAATTTTTTAAGTGATTTAAGACTGGCTGTCCAAATGAAAAAATATGTCGTCTATGTAACGTTTCCATGTAAGAGGTTTTGCAGGGCTTAGATGTAAAAGCTGGTTTTCAATATGACATATAAAAATGTTGGCCATTTTTAAAGTAAAATATCCCTAATACCTTTTCACATACACTCTCGTATCGGCTACATTGTACTGGAAATCAGATGCTTACAACAGTACATATAGAAATAGATTAAATGTTTCTTGGAAGACTGGATGACCTTTATGATGTCACTAAACTTCCTTTATTTATATAACTCAATCGATTAAACCACCATTCACAGTTTGCCTCTGAAAAAGAAGAAAGGTCCACCTTTCGAAAGTGCTTAGGTTATAGAGTTTTTCTTCATTTCACTAAAAAAATATATTTTGTATATGAAAGACTTGTAATGTTAATTGAAAGACTGCTAAATTTTGTAAATGTACACACTACAGATTTAACGCTTCTAACATCCAATATAATGACTTTAAATGAGTATAAAAAGGTCACATGGTCAGTCAAATTGACCAAGCCTGTGTTGAGAGAGTTAAATGAAGAGCATAAATCTTCATGGAAATGAGAAATTCAATAAACCTACACTTTATTAAATATTAGTAGTGCTAAAACTAAAACAAATTTTATTTAAGAGCCTATTTATCCTGAATACTTTTTCAGATGAATATTCTACTGAATGGTCAATTAGTTGAAGAGTTAACTACCATTGTTCATTCATCACGAGCACAGAGTGTTGGCCGGAACATGTGCCAGAGACTCAAGGATACCATCCCTGCGCAGTTGTTTCAAATTGGTATTCAGGCTGCTGTTAATGGGAAGATTTTAGCCAGAGAAAACATTAAAGCTTTGAAAAAAAATGTTCTAGCCAAGTGTGTAAGTTAAAGATTTAATGTATAAGTGAAGAAATAACATTATATAAACTGAAAATGTAGCCCAAGTAGCTGTATTTCTTCCTTTGTTTTATATTGTAACTGATAACTTTGCAGGTTTTAACCAATTGTTCAAGCCTGGTATTCAGTTTCTTAGTTTATTAAAATGGAAATCTGATTAATATTTAAATTTAGCCTTCAAACTCATCCTTTATATATTGAATTTTCTACATATTGAGGTGTTATTATTATTATCGGTTCATTGGTTAATAGAAATTCTTTTAAATTTATATCTGTCACTGTGTGGTTCTCTTAATTTGCATGTGGCAGAACTATGGATTGCAGGTTTGTATTGTGTCACTGTGTGGTTCTATTGATATTGATTGTAGCTTTATATCATGTTACTGTGTGGTTCTATTGAACTGGATTGCAGCTTTATGTCATGGCTCTCTGTGGTACTGTTCACTTTGCTTCTCAAGTGTCTACCCAGAGATACAGTAATATACTGAAAATATTTTACAGTTCAAGTGGAATTTAAAAAAAAAAGAAACATTTCTGAAATGTGTTTCTGAAGAAGATCTTCCAAGGTTTTAGAAGAGTTGGTGATGGAATATATTATTTTCAACATTACTCTTACTTTTTCCTTAAACTTTGAGTGAAGTTTACTCACAAATTGTTACACTCTCATTATTTTGATATTACTTTTTATTTGGGTAGATTTGTTTATGTTACTTTTTGTTTTACAGTATGGTGGAGATATCACCCGCAAGATGAAACTCCTTCGTCGGCAGGCAGAGGGAAAGAAAAAAATGAGAATGGTGGGAAATATACAAGTACCAAGAGAAGCTTTCATTAAAGTTCTAAAAAAATAACTATACAATATCAAGCAGAAACAAATTTTTACTATGTAAGTACAGTATCTAGTCAGTTTATGTAACATCAGCCATTAAAAAAAACAAAGATTTCTGTATCAAGTTACCAGTCTTAATCAATGTATAGTATCCAGTCAGTTTATGTAACATTACACATTAATAAAACGAAGATTTCTGTAAAGTTACCAGTCTTTCTGATGTATACTATCCACTCAGTTTATGTAACATCAGACACTAAAATAAAAAGATTTCTGTATCAAGTTACCAGTCTTAATCAGTGTATAGTATCCAGTCAGTTTATGTGACATTAAATATAAATAGAATAAAGATTTCTGTATCAAGGTATCACTCTTTTTGAATATGTAGTGTCCAGTCAGTTTATGTAACATCGTCCATTAAAAAAAACAAAGATTACTGTATCAAGTTACCAGTCTTAATCAATGTATAGTATCCAGTCAGTTTATGTAACGTTACACATTAATAAAACGAAGATTTCTGTAAAGTTACCAGTCTTTCTGAATGTATAGTATCCAGTCAGTTTATGTAACTTTAGACATGAATAAAACAAAGATTTCTGTATCAAGTTACCAGTCTTTCTGAATGTATAGTATCCAGTCAGTTTATGTAACTTTAGACATGAATAAAACAAAGATTTCGGTATCAAGTTACCAGTCTTTCTGAATGTTTAGTATTCAGTATATTTATATAACTCTAGAAATGAATACAACAAAACTTACCACTTTTTCTCAATATATCACATATGGTTAGTTTGTATAACGTTATACATTAATAAAACATACATTTTTCTATCACGTTACCAGTCTTTCTGAACATGTAAAGTTAAGTCAGATTATGTAACATTAGACATTACATTCAGAAAAACTGGTAACATTAGAGAAATCTTTGTTTTAACATAGTATCCAGTCAGTTTATGAGACATCAGACATTAATAAGACAAAGATTTCTGTATTGGGTTACCAGTCTTTCTGAATGTACAGTATACAGTCAATTTATGTAATATTAGACATTAATAACACAAAGAATTCTGTATCAAGTGCCCAGACTATCTAAATATATAGTATCCAGTCAGTTTATCTAACATTATACTTCAATGAAACAAAGATTTCTGTATCAAGGTACCACTCTTTTTGAATATATAGTATCCAGTCAGTTTATGTAACATTAGACATTAAAAAAAACAAATAATTCTGTATTGGGTTACCAGTCTTTCTGAATGTACAGTATACAGTCAATTTATGTAATATTAGACATTAATAACACAAAGAATTCTGTATCAAGTGCCCAGACTATCTAAATATATAGTATCCAGTCAGTTTATCTAACACTATACTTCAATAAAACAAAGACTTCTGTAAAGTTACCAGTCTTTCTGAATGTATAGTATCCGGTCAGTTTATGTATCATTATACATTAATAAAACAAATATTTCAGTAAAGTCCCCTTTCTTTTTGAAGTTATAGTATCAATTCAATTTATTTTTATGACAGCAGCAGTCGC